GGACAAATACAGTAGTTGCATTCAACTGAAAACGTAGGCTTTTTTTAAAAAAAAAATGGATTGGATTAGAGGAGAAACATGGAGAGTGGGGCGTCAGTGATGATAATATTATGTTGAAAAGGATAAAGTAGTCCAGGGATCACTGGTGCCCAACTAGAAAAAAAACAAAAAACAGTTATTTGGTTTATCTTTTTAGCAATTTTAGTTTCAGTTTTGTTTGTTCTGCTGAAAGCATGTACCCTACAAAGAATAGCATGTGACTATATCCCTTTCTGTGAAACTTAAGTGAATGAGAGAAAGGAGAATGGATTGCACTGAAGAGAAAACAACTAAGCATTTCTTTACAATGGGAGGCTACAGAGCCCAGAAGAAAAAGGTAGTCAAATACACTGTTCTGAATAAAAAGAACGAGGAGTACTTGTGGAACCTTAGAGACTAACAAATTTATTTGGGCATAAGCTTTTGTGGGCTAAAACCCACTTCATCGGCTGCATGCAGTGGAAAATACAGTAGAAAGATGTATATACACAGAGAACATGAAAAAATAGGTGTTGCCATACCAAATCTAACGAGACTAATCAATTAAGGTGGGCTATTATCAGCAGGAGAGAAAAAAACTTTTGTAGTGATAATCAGGATGGCCCATTTCAAACAGTTGACAAGAAGGTGTGAGTAACAGTAGGGGAAAAATTAACATGGGGAAATAGTTTTTACTTTGTGTAATGACCCATCCATTCCCAGTCTTTATTCAAGCCTAATTTAATGGTGTCCAGTTTGCAAATTAATTCCAGTTCTGCAGTTTCTCGTTGGAGTCTGCATGCATTTGATGAAGTGGGTTTTAGCCCACGAAAGCTTATGCCCAAATAAATTAGTTAGTCTCTAAAGTGCCACAAGTACTCCTCGTTCTTTTTGCTGATACAGACTAACACAGCTACCACTCTGAAAACTGTCTGAATAGTGTATTCTCACTTGGAGAGTAGTAGTTTTCTTAACAATACAACAACATTAAAAACCAAGGATCAGTATTTTATCATTGATCCTGAGCCAGTATATGGAAAAGTTGATTGGTTAAAACAAACAAACAAACAAACCTGTATGTCCTGATTCCAAGCTCTGACAATTTTGTGAAACAACAGAACTTAAATCATATTACCAATTCCAGCAATCAATTTACTTCCACCCACACATGCTGATGTGACAGCTATCACCTTGGCTGACAGCAGGGATTGAACTAATAATCTCCAGTCTTAAAGGCATAAGTATCTACAGCTTGAGCTAAAGAGCCAAACTCTCTAGCTAGGAGCTGTAACATCCTCTGTGGATCAGGGGAACACAACACACCAGTGGGTTACAACAAACAATTTTAGCCAATAGCTCATAATCTGCTGGAATTAGAGATTCACACTGTGCTTATACTATAGAAAGTGTGGAATGCAGAACTTTCAGAGAGCAAAAAACACTGATTTCTAGCTCCACTCTCTCTCAAGATAATGGCCCCCAAGTAATATTGAAAGGAAAATAGAGGCAAGTACTTTACAGTGACTAGAATGATCATTAAAATCCAATAGTCCACTATTTGCCATAGTTAGAACCAAGTGCTGGGCTTCCAAGTAAGGGGACCTACACCATCAGTTTCTATAGAATTTAAGATTTCATTTTCAAAAATTTGACACACTTGGGGATGCTCTGGGCAGCTATCCCATAACAGAGCATAGAGTACTGCTGAGATACCTTTCCAAACATGAACCACAGATAAGCCAGCGTCACGTTACCTGTTAGAGCCTGCAGACTTCAATTTCTTTGCTGCTACACAGAGCTTTTCAAAGCAGCTGCAGAGTGAAATTCAGATGTTGCCTGTACTACAACTCCCCTCTCCACCTCTGGAATTTAAATGGTTGTTGATATTCTATTTAAAATGCTTGCGTGCACTGATTATTGTGCTGGCCCACTCTGTACCACCCTGATAAGGGGCTAGGCTAGCAAACAGTTGTCATCTTACCATAACCAGGAAGCACATGCTTATTTTGCACTATATTGACTGGCATGGCATGACTCATTCTTACCATGGAGTAGAAAAGATATCCCAGGATGCACTTTTGCATGTGGTGCTGATGCCCCTATCTGTGAATGTCCTCAGGGAACTCTGTGCCCTGTAGAAGTATTTATTATGGGTTACCTTCCCAGATTTTCCCAAAATACACCAGCTACCCTATTCAATTAATGTGTATGGTAGCATTAAAGAGCTATGGTCCAGCCTTGGTTTTGTAGCAGAAAAACTGCAGAGGACACAACTCAGACCTCATCTCATCTTGTTGACAAAAAACCAACAGCTGTACCTGTAGGCCTTGTTTCCACTAGCATTTCTCATCAGCTTTCTCATCATCGCATAGCCACTGGTGCAGCTTCAGTGGCCACAGCAATGGTGCGAATGATAGGATGGACTTGCTGCTGGTGCTTTTATCGCCACCTTGTCTAACACTGTTCAGAACAGGTCTGGATGATGTGGTGGTTAAAAGAGAGGTTGCCAGAAGCTGCCAGACTACATTAATGCCCCACATTGCTGCCACAGGTGGAGCTGAGCTGTGGCAGTTTACTGGTGGAAAGCTTGAAGAAAAATGTTAGTGTAGTGTACATGTGGGCTAACAGGATCAGTTAGTTTCATAGCTGCTATTCAGAACTTGGTGGGTTGCAGTGAAATGGTCAAAGATCACTCCAATTTCAATCTGCTGCTGCTGCTGCTCAAGAAGGCTACACAGAGCAGCAGAGTCAGGCACTGAAGTTATTCATGAGAGGACCCAACAAACAGAGGCTGGGAGAGCGACAGACACTCTCCATCCTAAACAGCAGCCAAGATTTTCCATGGGAGGGACAGTTGATAGTTTCACTTCAAGTATACATAGCAACCAGGAGGTCCAGAGGGGAGAAAAGATGCTACCACAGGCCGTTAGTGGTAGCATCCTTGCCCCAACCTTTCACATCTGGTTACTAGGAGTCCAGTGAATTTTTCAGCCCTGGTTCACAAGGCATCAGAACTTAAAGTCTGATAAAAGCAACAGCTGGTTAAAAATGCAGCAACCTGCTTTCCACCCCACACAACCATGTCACCTTGGGACTCTGCACAATTCACTGGCTCCCCATGAGATACAGATCAAATTCAAACTTCTGGCCTTGACATTTAAAGCCCTCAGTGGGCCAGGCCTGGACTACCTCAGAGATCAAGAGCCACGAAATCTATTATACTCATTAGAAACAATGAAAACATCAATGGCTGAAATTCACAAAAGAGGGGAAGAGCTGTCAGAAGCCAGCCCTCAGACATGGAGCTCCATGCTCTGGATTGGATTGCAGAACATGCCACAGTTAGGACAAAATACAAAACTCCCCCTCTATAAGCTAGAATTCCCAAAAGTAAGATGTGCCAAAGCCTAAGAACTCTAACACCTACTAACAGAAGGAGACAGACCCTCTGTCAGGAAACCACTTATTTAATGTAATTGTTGTACACTCAGATACCAGCCTGATGAACATAGGACACATTAGATGCCATTGGCCCCTCAGAATTATAGTGATATTTTGGTACTGATCTAGGACTAAATATATTAAGTCTTGGACACTAGACTAATAATACAAAACAATTCTTCTCATTCATCCCCACTAAGGGCTACAGTTTAAATGCTAGAGAGGCACAGCTGCACAGTTGCAGCCGTGCCACTGTACAGCTTCCCGATGGCATAGGTAATTCATCTCCCTGAGAGGCAGTAGCTACGTCAACGGAAGAATTCTTCTGTCAACCTAGCGCTGTCTACATGGATACTTAGGTTGGTTTAACTATGGTGCCCAGAGGTATGGATTTTTCACTCGACTAAGGTAGTTAAACCAACCTAATTTTCTAATATAGACCAGGCCTAAATATAATCAATTCCTATCCAACTTTTATCTACATAGGTCCCGACCCATCACTATCGTATCTGAACATCTTGCAAAAAGGTAATGAATTTACTGTAATACCTCCCCGTTACGTAGAGAAATACTGTTCTCCCAATTTTAAAGACGGGGAATAAAGAGGGAGAGAGTCTTGCCCAAGCCTTGCAGGAAGTCTGTGGTAGATCTGATAATTGAACCCAGATATACTGAGACCCGATCCAGTGACTTAGGGCTTGTCTGCACTTGAAACACTACATCAGCATTGCTATAGTGCTCATTGTAGACACTCATTACACTGACGAGGGGGGTTCTCAGTCGGCTTAATCCACCTCCCCAAGGGGCAGTAGCTAGGTCGAAAGAAGAATTCTTCCGTCGACCTAGCGCTGTCTACCCCAGGGGCTATTCCAACTTAACAACGTCACTCAGGGATGTGGATTTTTCACACCCCTGAGTGACGTCGCTGGGTTGACTCAACTTTTGAGTGTAGATGAGGACACCATCCTTCCTCTCTGCACGCAGGGCTTAAGACTTTTGGGAAAGGTAAGCAAGCCAATTCTTCGGGATACACCCTACACCCAGACACATTTTGTCTCATGCTTGTTTGTACCTGCGTACATGGGGGAAGGGGAGTAACGACAGCCACCAGTCAGTGGATATTGACCCCAGCTGCCATGGGACCTTTAATAATCTGACCCATGTCAATTACCTGGGGCCAGGAAATAAAGACCAATCTCTTCCCAGCACTGCTGTGTCTCAAGCCCTTTTTGTTGTGAGTATAAGGAATCCAACAGGCCGCCCCTTAAGGCTCCATTGCCAGGGCTAGGGGCTTCCCTGTTTGGAGAGGTGAGGTTTGCCCCTTTCCTGGCACCCCCTCCCCCAAGGCCGGTTGGGAAGACCTGCCTGGAGAGAACTGCACCTCGAAGGGAGCCACCTGGCCACATTTCCCTCCTGCAGGGACCCCCGTGCAATGCAAGGGAGGCACCCCTGGATCTGCAGCCCCGGCCGGACGGCGCCAGGCCAGTGCCCGAGCCGGGCCGGGGGGCTCGCTCGGCTGCTCCCCCAGCCCCTGCGCTCACCCTTCTTCTTGGTGAGCATGGCCACGATGGGGATGCTGGGCCGGTCGCTGAACACCTCGGCCTGGCTGACCAGCGCCTCCCGCACCGCCTCGAAGTCGCTGAGCACGATCATGGGGCGGCTGCCCACGAAGAGGCTGAAGACGCTGCCGTAGACCTTGGCCATGCCGGTCAGGAGCAGGTGCGGGGGGAGCGGCCGGGAGCCCCCCTGCCCGGCCCGCTCGCCCAGTAGCCACCTCTTCCGCAGCGGGCCGGGCAGCAGCGCGAAGCCGAAGTTGCCCACGAGCGGCCAGGGGCTGGGGCCGGGCGGGAGCCCCCGGGGCGGGCGGCTCAGCAGCCAGTAGAGCCCCAGCAAGAGCCCGGCGGCCGCCAGCAGCGGCCAGGGCCAGCCCGCCAGCCCCGCACAGGCCATCCCGCCCTGGGAGCGCGGCCTCGGCACGGCCGCTACATCCCCGAGGCGCCCGGCCCGCCTCGCCTCCTGGGATTGGCTGCCTCCGGCTGGGGGTGGAGCTCTGTGCGTCGCGACTCGTCCCAGACCCCGGGAAGAGTCCCCGACTCCGCCCCCCAGCTGGCCGCGTGACGTCCCCAGCCTAGGGGGTTCCCTCTCCCCAGACCTGCTCACTCCGCATCAGTCTTCTCCTGAGTCCTGCCTCCGCTCACTGTCCCCTGGCAGCAGCAGCGGCCGCCAGCCCTGCAAAGAGATCGGGGGTGGGAGGAGAGCAAAGAAAGCAGCACACGGCTCTGACTGAGTTATTGTTTCCCCCCCTCTAAACGTTGCTTTGCAGTTCCCTGACAGCGGTGGTGGCAGGCTGCGGGGAAAGAAGGAACTTGGCACCTGCCTCATCCATTCAGCGACTCCTAGATATTTGCAAATGGGAAATGGGGCTGTCCATAAATAGAGTCAGTAAATATCCTTTTTCATTTTCCTCTTGGCCCCACCCACTCTCGTGGCACCTGGATGTGCTAATAATTAAAACCAACATAACAGTCTGGGGATACCTCTGCTCGGAGACACTCAGGAACATTAAGCCAGATTAACTAAAGGCACGAATTTAAAGTGCGTTAGTTAAAGTGCATCAGCCCCCCGGTGTGGATGCTCTTATTCAGAAGTAAAGAAGCCTTAGTTTCTTTTAGCTTAATCCCTTTTAAAGGAATAAATTAAGCACATCAACCTTAAGCATGTGCCTCAGTCCATCCCTATTTATCAAAGCACTTATGTGCTTTGCTGAATCAGCGTGGAGCTCTGGTGGGCCACCAGTGATGACAATGTCCCAAAGAAAGACATAGTTTGAGGAACTATAATAAATAAATGAGGAAACTGTGGAGGCAGCAAAACTAGAGGTGGGAGGAATAGGGGCTAGCGCCTCTGCAGTGGAAATATAGTGGGCGGGGGAGCGGGCTGGGCTGATCTATGTTTCTGCCCCCTGTCACTGCCCATAAACTGCACACAGTTGGTGCAAGGTGGGATGGAGGCAGGAGCAGGACCCAGAGGGGTGGGACTGGTCATCACATCTGGGATGGGGATGGGAAGCATGTAGGACACACACAGAGTCTCTTTAATGCTCCTCACTGAGCACCACCCCTTTCCCCTCCTATCCCCGACACCCCAACATTCCCCTCTGCTCCTACCACCCCTGCTCCCCATCTAGAGCACCACCCTGCATCCACAACAAGCTTCCACTGGCACTGGAACTGTGCATTTCTGGGCCTATCCTACACTATCGTCTATGATGCCATAAAATATAGGCATGAACTATAAATATCAGCCAGTCTGACAAGATTTGTCATGCACAGCTGCAACATTTCACCCAGGAATATCGCTGGTTAACTTTTTTGTAATTCTCAAGTATGATTTACAAAATTTACAGCCTCTAGTATGTTTGATGCCAAAGGCCACAAGTAATATGAGATGGGCCAAAACCACAATTTGAAGTCCAACCTATTTCAAATTTCAGGAGGAGGTTTTGATTCAACTTCCCAGGTGTGAAACTGTCCCTGCTGTTTTGGTTCTGGGTTGGATCCAAAACTAAAAGTATATGTTCCAGCTCCAATTCACATGTGACCGAAATCTCACAAGAACTTCCATTTTCATGAGATTTTGGCACAGAACTGAAATCTTGTGAGAACTGCTGGACTTCAACTAGGTTGCACTATTCATGAGTGTAGAATTCTCATTAACTCAGCTGAATTGATGAGTTTTCCATCATATAGGGGCAAAATCTCACAAGAATAGTTTGCAAGTTTGCAGTAACATTAGACCCTCAAACTCGAGCTATAACTCCCAAACCACATTGGGGTGCAGAAACAGGAAAGAAGATCTACTACATTGTTAATGAAGAAGAAGCCAGGATGCCTCAGCAGTGGTTGGGACAATGTCCAAAACTCAGCCAAGACCACCCTGGTTCACCTGTTTTTATTATGAATGATTTGCACAACTCAGAATGCTGCCAACTATTAAAAAGGAAGAAGTCCTTCTTTCTTGCTCAGTTTCACTAATTGTTCAATAAGAATTGATCCTCTTCTTCATTTCATTGGTCAATCTGATAGCATGGAGTCTGTCTTAAGCCACTGCTTTTCTCACCCCCAAATTACTCACCTTCAGATGCCACTGATGTAGACAAGAGTGTAGGAATGGCACAGCAGGGGAGGGGTGAATTCCCACTTAGCAATGACAAATGTGTATTTGTTTGATAGAACTTTCACCAATTTCTTATCTTAATTACTGACCAGGGTGTCCCCACAATCATCTGGAATCAGCCTGGATTTATTCATTTGCCATGGCTGTAACTATGTTATAGATGCTTTTCAAAGCCTTCAGGAGGACAGTCCTTGCTTTGAGGAGATTCCACTCTAAGCTTGTAGTTGGAGCCAAAGAAGTTCTGATGAACAGAACTGTATCTTTCTTTTCAGAAATCTTTTCCATTTCACCTACCCTTTTAATTTGCGACACTCTAAGACCCTGCTGTTATAATGGCCTGCTCTCCGAGAAGGAGGGCTTGATGTGGCTCTTCCATGACTGGTCGTCACAATTCTGAGCTTCACATCTAGAAAGGCACTCTTGCACCTCCCATATCACCCAATGTGTGTTTTGCCCAGCCTTGGAGACTGTGCTAGAAGACACGTTACTGCACAACCTCATTATGTTATGAAACTGATACATTATTTTTTAAGGCAGACTATCAGTAGCATTTACTAAACAAGGTTGTTGAGAAAGGGCATGTATACACCAGCACTGTAGCCTTAATTCTCCAATAAGGCAGCTGCAAAGGAGGAAGTGGGTTGCTGAGGACCCCAAATAGTTTATTTTTTCAGTATTAGAATGTCTCTAACTCTACAGCAATTTACCATAAAAAGCTCCATGACATTAGCTGAGCTATATTTAAAAACAATTTATGTTGATTATAAAGGAGTCTATTGAAGTGGGCATATTTGAAATTTAAAATAGTCAAGGCCAATTTTTCTTCAAACAAATACGAAACTGTTAGATACAATCTCTCACTAATCTGCTCCATATAAGGGGCTGATATTTTATTAGCTGCTGACATACAATATAATAGAAATTAAGTTCACGGAGACAAATCAGATTGAAAAAGAAGAACCTAATCAGCCTCTTCCCTTGGCTTTGGCTGAAACTCTCAGTACTTTAATTAGAACAGTCAGCAGAAAACATGTTTCTATAAATAGGGAAGTAACATTTAAAAGAATGCAGATAGCTTGGAACAATATGAAGAAAACAGCATGAGACAGTGTGGGCATGCAACTGTTTAGCTGAACTAGGCATTTTATCAGAATAAGAAAAATTACAGTATATTTTGGAGTCTTAATTCGGAAAGAGAAAGGCTAACGCATTAAGAACCAATAAATAGAGTACTGAAGAATTCTGCTGTTTTTATGGGGGAAAAACAGTATCAGGTGAATGTGTGCCCCCTCCCAACCTCTTTCCTCTCCACTCATTGTAGCTGCATTCACTATTTTAATTCAACTTTGCCACCATAGAAATTAGAGAAGAAAGGTATCTAGGGTTACCAAACCCCGCCACATAGCATAGGAAGATTATCCCTATCCATCCCCATATTTATATGGCTCCCATTATGTTAAAATCAGAGTATCTCCCATGTCTTTAAAAATAGGAATAACCTCTCTTCTTCCTTCTTTCATAATCTGTTGGAGAAGTAGCTTGATCAGTTGATAGGCTTCTTGTTTATTTTTCTGTGGGTGTGGTTGTGTGTGTGTGAGAAAAATTTATTCAGGAAATAATAAGTCACAATGAGTTTTGCATTCCTTCTGAACAGGATATGATTTCATTTCAGGTGCCTTTGTGCAAGCAAAATTTCACCTGTGTGTGAAATTTCATAAAATGTGGTTTTCACATAGAAAAAAGCTAAAATTCAAATTATGACAGTATTAAAGTTTAAAATTTTGAAACCTTGATGCCTTTTCCCCCCCTGAGGATTGCTGAGTGAAGGAGCCATTTTTTAAGCAAACACGCCTCAAAATGTCAGACTTTCATGTATCTGGACAATTTGAATGAAATGATGAATTGCAGATGCTTTTTTCCCTTAGATGTATTAACTTACTCTCCCACACCTAGCAATGCATGATCCATCCCTTCTGCCTCCCTAATGACATAATTATTTCAACAGAATAATGGTCAGAATAGAAGTAAAAACAAGGCTCTAAAGTTTGAGAAATTGATAGTGTCCTGGATTTTGTGAGTCAGTCTCGTACTTGACCCTCATCGTCTGGTCCATCTGCCCCAGATGTAACTGGGGTACATGAATTAAACATTCTCTCCTTGCCCCCCAAATAACTGGATCATCCATCCACTAAGGGCTATGCTACCAACTGGCAACCACATCTTTTTTTTGACTCCCTCCGCTTTTCTTCAGATACTTCATTTCATTCTCTGCGTGCCTTTCCTCAAAAGGTCAGGGCATGGGAATGAATGTGGACTCTTGTCCCTCCCTCTGTTCCCATCTCAGACCCACTAACCTCCACCTGGTCTGCCTGAGCAGGCTATTAAGACCTCCAGTTTCAGAAGGACCGGAGCACCAGAGATGCACCTGCATAGATTCCAGTAATTGGGCTCCTTTCTGTCACAAGTAAATGTGGCAGTAAGTTATTGCCCTCTTCATTTTCTTCTCTCCATCTAATCTGCCCCACTCCCACACCAAGCACAAAAGACTAGGATGTCTTGGGGCTTAGAACACACTAGCAAAGGAACAACTGAATGAGGAGGGTGACTGCATCAGTCACTGGCAGCAGAGCATCACCAGAACTCACAAGAGGGAGCGGGGCACCAGCTTCATTGAAGGGAAGGCACAAAGTCATAACATCTCAGGGAAGCTTGGGTGGACAGGAATTAGAGGTAGAGAGACGGAAGATAAGTAAAGGAAGGCCGAGAGCCTAGAA